CCATTTCACATATTGGCTGTTTTAAAAATGAGTGTGTGTCTCCCTATCTGGCTGCTACTTATCTCCTCCTGAGCTACATCGAGGGGAAGAAGCATTATATCTGGGCTGAGACATGTTGGGAAGAAAAGCTTAGGCCATCTCAAACGGAATTGCTGGTACTGAGAGGTGCAGCTCTGCAGGGTGCAGTGGAACCATGGCCTAGTAGCTGATTTAGGAGAAAGGATTAGCACAAGTACGATGTCTGCACCTCCACTGTTTGCCTTCAGAGCAGCTGTTAAGAGTTTAATTCCCCAAGGGTGACATGAAATTGCTCAATCTAATTCATGCACTTCTACTCACAGTTGGGGGAAAGCTCACAAGAGTGACATCGCACTCATCTAGCATCAGGCCTGTGACTAGGCTGGTTGTTGAGGCGCTGTCTGTAGTCAGAGGAAGAGAGGTGCATCTAGAGAGCAGCCCACCCTTGTTTAAATGAGGTGCATCTTTCCCTGTGTTGATTACAGAGAGCACCTGGATGCTTAACTTGGGTGAGGCAGCTACTGTTAAGGGAAGTAAATTCTTCCTTTAGCAACGGTTAAAGACTTGGCTGCTTTTGAAAACTTCACCCATGGGGCTCCTACTGATGGAAATTCTGGCTTTACAGTTGAATTGACAAGACACTTGGCATATTGAAGAGAACCCTTATAAAACTATATGTATTAAACGGGGAATGTAGGGACTGTGCATAGCTGACAGTTCATGGTGTTGGCCTGCCCCCTACTAACTGCAAGAAGTATATGGTCTCTTCTTCCTCTTTCTACAGAGGTAAGAATGACAAGTAGTTTGCAGGTGATGGAAAGTGGTGTCTCAGTTATGCAGCATCACCACTAGCAAGGTGCAGTAGTTTCCATAGTGTCATGTTATTAACCCTGTCCTAATATCTCTTGAAGTAGAGGAAGAGAAATTTTCTGTGCAGTAATTCAGGTTCTGAGTTTGTGTGGCTCTGGGCGACCCAAGGTACTGCTCCGTGTGTCTCATCTTACAGCTTTGGGCAAATAAACTTTGGTTTTGCCTTTGGGTAACAGTGAACACACGACAGTTACTTCCGGATACCTGAATCATTGCAGATTTGGGCTCTGCATCTTGGTGGTAAGTTGTTTGTGTGCCTGTACCGTTACTTAGATAACAGTAGAGTCCCAGTTCTAGCCTTTTCAGAAATTCCAGACTTTTATCACTGTATTTTTTTATTCATGCTCCAAGAAATATTGAGCTTTTCTTCAGAGTGAAAGTGATTGGAGAGAGGAAATCAAGCTCTGAGGTGGTTCTTAAACAGGTAGTTTCAGGGGGAAAGAGAGCTTCAAAGTGTTTGAGGAGATGGCAGCTCCTTTACTCTTTATTTCTTAGGAATATTGCGGAAGGAACTGTACAGCATCAATTCCGAATGCTTTAAAGAAAAAAAAAGGCATTGGGGAGGGGGTGAAAGAACTACCTCTGAGATACAGCAAAGTGAGAAAGTGCAGACTTGAGAGAGAAGCACTCAAGCACAGTAGTCTCAGCAGCAAAGGAAGAGCTGTTGTGGAGCTGGCTAGTTTGTGCAAGAGCTGTCCCAGCAGGCTCAGGTGAAAGGAGCACAGGTGAGATTAATACTGTTACTTGGTGCCTCCCTGCTTGCTTTCTCAGCTGGGCTACACTTCTGCTCCATTGTCCCAGCTGCTTCTGCATCCTCTCTGGGACCATCTCTTAGTTAGGGCCATTCATGTTGCATGGCATCAACCTGAGAGTTTCTGGGAAACCTACCCAGAGGTAGGATGGGGCCAAACTCTTCTTGGTGGTGGCCAGTGACAGGACAAGGGGGAATGGGTACAAACTGAAACACAGGAAGTTCCCCCTCCATGTGTGGAAGAACT